GTCTTCTTGGAGTGACCGGGTTAAGGGCTGATGGATTTAGATGGATCCTGTCTTTTAGCCATTTAAATATTTGCTGGCCTATCACCACAGGACTTGAAGATTATGATGAGAATGTAAACTGGTTGAAAGAGACTTGCCAAAAGTTACACATCTGAATTCCTACTCAAATTAGTCAAAATGAAGTATAACTTTTTTTACTTTTCAGAAAAATTTCGATGTTCAAGTGTGATTTTTTTTAAGCATGAAGGATTAGGCACTTTAATTATTTCGGACTAGTGGCAATATTTTGAGTCTTACCTTCTCACAGTAGGTAATTTTTTTTTTATCTTCTTTTACTTGTAGCTTCTGTCATCAGTGTCCACTTAAGGGTTCCTCTTTTCCAAACAAGTTTTGATTAATAATTTTGTTATTTTCATGCATAAACTGAAGCATGTTCTTAAAAGAGACTTTATTAATCACAGTGTGGTTGCAGTAAATGTACAATCTCAGAAATTTGCAAGACCATAATACTAACATGACATTGCTTGTTACATACATTCTTTGTTACATACATTCTGTGTTACATATACTCAATGTTACCTACATTCTTTGTTACATACACTCTTTGTTGCATGCATTCTTTGTTACATACATTCTTTGTTACATGCAGTCTTTCTTACATGCATTCTTTGTTACATACATTCTTTGTTACCTACATTCTTTGTTACAAACATTCTTTGTTACATACATTCATTGTTACATACATTCTTTGTTATATATATTCATTGTTTTCTACATTCTTTGTTACATATATTTTTTGTTACATGCATTCTTTGTTACATACATTCTTTGTTACATACATTCTGTGTTACATGTATTCTTTGTTACATACATTCTTTGTTACATACATTCTTTGTTACATACATTCTTTGTTACCTACATTCTTTGCTTCATATATTTTTTGTTACATACATTCTTTGTTACATGCATTGTTTGTTACATGCATTCTTTGTTACATACATTCTTTGTTACATACATTCTTTGTTACATACATTCTTTGTTACATACATTCTTTGTTAAATACATTCATTGTTACATACATTCTTTATTACATTTTTTTTTTACATACATTCTTCAGTATGTTCAGTTATCCGATTTAGGACTGTGAGCATTTCTTTTCAGTAATAAGAAGCATTGTGACAACTGGAAGGATCAGTGAAAAGAGGGGTAGAGGCAGACCAAGAGAGATGATGCTGGATGGGCTGAAACAATGGCATGAAGGGATATCATCAAGAGAGCTGTTCCAGGCAACCAGAGATCATGATCTGTGGAGACGCATGAGCGCCCACGCCAATTAGCAGGACACATGATGATGAAGATGAATAAGAAATGACAATTAGCGAGCATCCATCCCAAAGAAATATTTTGGTAATTTATAATGATACTGAATGGGTCTTTGAGCAAGCCAAACAATTTAACATTGTTGAATTTGCAAGAAGCAAAAAACCGTTAGATGTTTCAGGTCGTTGATTTGCACAGTCTAAAGGTAATTAACTTCTTCTTCTGCATTCATTATACAAATCATGGTTGGTAGACTATGATATCTGCATCCTTTGGCGCGACACATCCAACTTCAGAAAACTTCTGATTGTTCACCTTTCATTACAGCCTAGTTAGGGGGCCGCTGATATATATCCCCCCGCCCCCACCCAACATGGATATGGCCCTAGAACCCACACAAAGATAAAGATAATTAACAATTTATTTGATGTTTCATAAAGCATAGGTATTGAAGAAATGTGTTATTGTTACTGACCTGCGTAAAATACGAGCCAGAACTATCTTTATTTCATGCATTGCAAAATTCTGGCCTATACAGTTCCTGTTGTCAAGAAAATAAAAAGGGATGGAGAAACTGTCACAATTAACAGAGTTCCTGCACACACAAGAAAACTTCTCCAGAACTTTATGCATAAAGTTTTCATCTTTCAGTATCAGAGGATATGTAAATTATAGGGCAAGGCATGATGCATTCCTTGCTACTCTAAGAGATTTAAGTCTTTTTTTTTTTAAACACAAGGGAGCTGAATGGTCATAGACCACAAGACAGACCAAGAAGACGATGGAGAGATAACATCCAGACAGACCTGCAAACACTTGCTGTCACCAACTGGAAAGAGAAGGTCAACCAGAGAGATAAGTGGAGGCAGGTGATATCTGCAGCAATTAACTTTAGGGCTCAGAATGCTGAAGAAGAAGAAGAATATAGAAACATATGTTTTTTTTTTTTTTTTAGAGATTTGTAATAGTGAGATGTACACAATTTTGTTCTGATTTTCATGCCATCACATTCAAGTACCTTGCCAGCTGGCCAGGTGATCCTGTTTTGTCCAGTCTGTGATCTTCAACAGCATGTATCAGTTGCTGTGGCTGTCAAGAATCTTCTCTTTCTGTCTTCCTCTATCTTTCTTTCCATAAACTTTCCAGTTATCACAAAATATTTCAGGTTTTTCCTCTTCCCAGCATGGTCATAACCCTTCTGGATTTTTGTCTTGTTCCAGAACTTGAGTTCTACCTGCATATAGGTTTTACAAATCTGGCTTAGTTGTAAGCAGACTGCTGGTTTCTCACCTCATAGGCAGACATACTGGTGGTCAGGGTACTCTACCCCTTATTGCTGCTATTGTGCTTACTCCAGTGGAAGCATTTGATTTATCTTGTGTGTACACTGCTTCCCTTCCTACTTATGTTAAGCTTGTTAGTCACAGTTCAGTGGATTAATTTCTTTGTAATTTATTAGTAGTGAGACTGTTTGTGCATTAAAAGTCTATGGCCAAGCACCAGCAAGGAAATCAAAATTAAAATTTTAAGAGAATGCATCTTTCCTCTAGCAACCTACGGATGTGTCATAGACTATTTCCAAGTCCTTAAGAAAGACAATAGGGGCTTCTGGGCCGAAATTCTATAGAAAAATTTTCAGAATACCATGGACAAAGAAGAGGAGAAATACTGACATTTTAAAAGATCTGAACATCAAGGAAGATTAGTTAATAAAAAACGTCTTGTCTCGGAAGCTAAAATAGTTTAGTCCTATTAAGTGTCATAGCAGATTGTAAAAAATAATAGCAGAAGACATAGTACCAGGAAGTAGGGGCAAGGGGCCGCCAACACGAAGATGGGCACATAACATAACTGACTCCTTGAATACTAAAGTACATGGGTGGGAGAGCTGATGAGAGACCGAGTTTGTTTCAGGCAGACAGTGATGAGAGCGACATTCTGCAAAGGGCCTGCTACATGATGATAATGATGATAATGAGACTATTTGTCTTTAAAATCCTGCAAGGAAAAGTACAGAAACTCATGGAGGCAGAAAACAAACAGCAAGCATGCAGATGACCCAATCAACAGACTAAACAGAAGTCAGTACACCACATTTTTTACAACTAAGAATCAGACTTTACAGACTTAACACACACATGCACAGAAAAAATGCTGTACGATCCCCGCCATACACCTGAGCACATACTGCCTAACTGACCCCCAGCAGCAAAACCTTCAACAACAGCAAAAACATGGCCAAAGGGAAGCGGCATCCAAGGCAAACTTTGAAGAACCCTTGGATACTTGCTGTTGATGTGCCAGTTTGTGGAGGCTATACAACTGATAACCTGAGCATATGAAATTAATTGCAAAGAAGAAGTAGAAGTATCTTGCATACGGTATGCGTGAAAATTAACTGTTTCTATCCCTGATAGTAGCAGTAAGAAACTGGACCTGGAGTTAAATAATAATGGCTGGCTAGCATTAGTGTTACTGTTGTCAGGGCTAGAAGTTTTACAGCTGGTGCAAAAAGAGAGTAAAATGGGAAGAATCGTTATCACAATACTTTCAAAGAAGTGAAACAGGCACTGAAAGTGGCCACTGGGGACAAGTTTTCTTCAGTATGTTTTAACACAATTTTAAACCAAAAACCAAAGAAAAACAACAAATATTTTTAATCAGAGGAAACATTATGCAATTACTGAGTTTCTAGTGCAAATCACACATCACACATTGTCTCTGAACAAAATATTTAAAATTACAACTAGTTGACCATAAAGAAATAAAATAATGAAAAAGAGAACAAAATGAGTGGATGTGACAAATAATATAACGAGGGGAAGTCAATAAGTAAATCACAAATGTTTATGGGAAGGCAGGAAAATGTAGTTAGTGGTTCTAAAAGGTGTCATTAGGTGACAGCAACATTGAACTTTATGTCTCTGTTTGTTAGGTGGTGCTAGGTGTCGCATTTGTATTTGCAACACAGAAACAAGATGGCGACTGAAACTTGCAGATTGTACCCTCAAAGAACAACATGATGTTGTGCATTGTTTTTAGGGGTGGGGTGGCAAAATGGCTGCTTGCAAAAGGACATTCATAAGGAAATGCTTCTTGTTTATGCTGACAAATTTTTATCCCCGTAAAGTTGTGCATAGCTGGGTAAAAAAATGTTCTCTAGGACACTCTAAAATGGTTGATGGAGTCCAATCTGGTCATCTTGTTGAGATTGCAACAGACACATCCGTGCAGCAGGTGAAGAAGGAGGAGATGATTAGAGGTGACAGGTGAGTAATGGTTGACTCTGTGGCAGCTGCAATAGGGCGCTCACATGGTTTAGCATACACTGAAAACCCACCTTGGCGGGAGACATTTTGCGAATGCCACAAAAGTTGAATGTGAAAAGAAAATGTGGTTTAAAAACAGAACATGCAGTTCTATGCAGCAGGTTTATGAGGACTGATAAAATGATAGGACAAGTGCATCAATGTTGTTGGAAATTATGTTGAAAAATGAAGGGACAGTTCATCTGGGGTTTTTTTTAAACAACCATTTGTGACTTACTTATTGACTTCCCCTCGTGAAACTGAAGTAGTTGACATCAACTTTAAGCAGTTTTTTATTTAACTAAGGTGGCATACTGAACATATTTTCATTTGTAGAGAAGTTGAAATTTGTCTACTTTCAGAATAACTTACCTTGGCCCTGCAGAAAATGGAATAAATGCGTAGGAACTTCTCGTTTCTACATTCTCTGGCAAAAATCTGTCTGGGTCAAATTTCTATTAATAAAAAATATTTGAAAAAAACATAAAACTTTTTTTTTAAAGAAGTAGAAATGAACTTTAAAAATATAATGATAAGTGGTAAAACCATAAGAAAACAGCAATCAGATAACAAGGATTTGTGACAAGAACACAGACCTGATCTAAAACTCTGCTGACCAAGTGAAATGGCAAATCATGACCATTCTAGCTTATCAGCATTGCACATCAGGAAGATGACATTATTCCCTTTTAATCTTCCACTTAGAATATGTTGATCTTAAACTAAGAACTAAAATCTTCTTCCTCTGCATTCACCCTTAAAAGGCCAGATGGCATACTGTGTTATGATTAGCAGCAAGGCTACAGTATATATGCCTTTTGGCCTGACACCTCCTTTTTTTCAACAAACCCCTAACCACTTTCCTTTTATGGCATTTTTGTTAAGCAACTGTTGGCCTAGCCCTAACTACCACTTCCCACCCCCACTACAATCCCCACCCCACCTCTTAACTCCACCTGGCCATGGAACTAAGATGGGGCATATCTGATCTAAGACAATCATGGGGAATTATAACTAGCCATGCTTGTTGACATGGCACATGATGATGATGATGATGACAGGGCACATGATGATGATGATGATGACAGGGCACATGATTATGATGATGATGACGATAATGACATGGCACATGATGAGGATGATATGAGAGCACATGATGATGATGATGACAGGGAAGATGATGATAATGATAGTCACTAGTCTATTTAAACCTTTCAAGTATACTGCAGTTTTGAATATGTTGATCTTTGTTTTCCTTCTTCTTCAGCCTTCTGAGCCCTCAAGGTTCATTGCTGCATATATATCACCTTCCTCCATTCATCTCTACAACTGGCCATCTCTTTCCAGTCGGTGACTCCTGCAGGTCCACCTATATATCATCTCTCCATTATCTTCTTGGTCTACCTCATGGTCTACTCCATATTTAACTCTTTTGTGTCCATGGTTTTTGTCTCTGTGTTGCATGCCATTCTCTCTCTATGTCCCAGTCATTAGTTTTTAGCACTCATAATGTCAGGACTTAATGTTTAAGAATCAACATCACAGCACTCAGGACATTCCCATAAGCACTCCGTCCTCATCATCAGCAGCAAGTGCAGAGTTACAATTTTGATGATACCAGTAACAGTCTGATTGTATGTCTTCCTCATCTTTTCCCTGAGTGTTTATCATCGGTCAGGTTCCCTAGTCACTATTCCTCACAGCAGCATTCTCCTCAAACTGTGATAATCTATTAGTGCCTTAGCACTGTTCAATCGCCCCTAAAGGGCCCTTACAACATCTGATTCATCATGCATCAATTCACCACCAAGTTGTGCAGAATGCCAGTAATTATTGGTGATTTGGCATTAAGTGGCAGGTCAAAATCACAAACACTGAGGTACTGGAAAGAGCAGGTACTACAACAGTCTTTTCCATGCTCAGTCTACGAAGGCTCTTTTGGCTGGGTCACACTTGGAGAATGGAGGATGGCAGAGTCCCTAAGGACATCCTTTATGGTGAATTAAAGACAGGAAGAAGATGTCGAGGCCGACATCTACTACTGTATATAGAGGTGTGCAAGCGGGACATGAATGATACAGGTAGTGAGGTGGACTCGTGGGAACAAAATGACATGGGCCGTGTTGTGTGGAAAGGGTATATAAGGAAGGGAATGAGAGTGAAGGAAGAAATTATTGCAGAAAGGATGAGAGCTGAGCATCTGAAAAGAAACGGATTAAACACAAATGTTGTTAACAATGGTCCTGAAATCCCATGCTATCATTGTGGAAGACTTTTCTTGACACTGGCGGGTCTTGCTAGTCATACTCGCCATCGCCACGAGCTGTGAGTCTCATGCCTCCTCATAGCACAATATAACACTATCGTCTGGAAAGACGGAAAGGTGCCAATCAATCAATCATTGGTGATTTAAGCAAATTACAAATTTAATTGTTGCTCTCATACTAAAGAGTCATATCTGAAACATTCAAGATAAAATACACAACTGAGTTTTCATTCAAGCAGAAATTGTACTGAGACCAGTCACATACCAGAGTGTCTTCCCAAATGACAGGATTGTGATGGGCATTGTACAAGATAATATCCACCAATGTTCCTGCCGGAGCAATGTTACCATCAATTTCTGTGTCCACCGTCAGCTCTCTCTGTATGAAAGGAACCGGAGAATGCAACCTCAAGGACTCCTTAATTACCATCGTCAGGTACGGCAGCTCTGTAAGGTCTTCCCTGGTGTTAGGGAATTCATGCAGAATTAACACAAACAGGAGTGCTTTTTTAATATCCTACCCCAGATTATGTCACAGGACAGTCCAACATTTTAGAGAGTGGTAAGACTGGGTTTCCCAGCTTTCTGATGCCTTTAACGACCCCCAGAACATCTAGAACTGGCCCTAACCCCAACCCACCTATGTCCCACGAGAGTGTGCAGCCTAGGTCCCACGAGTGCATGCTGCCTAGGTTCCATGACTGCATGCAGCCTATCTACCATCCACTGAAATATTAGACTGTCCCGTGTCCTGTGGATTTCCCCTGTATGGGGTAGGATATTAATAAAGCACCTAAACAGGTGCAAACATGATAAGCACTTTTTGCTCTGTCCTCCATTAAATAATAAGATGAAAGATTCCCCGTGTGGATTCCTTGGCGCCATTGTGGAGTGGGGGAACAAGAATAGACCTACTGAATCCCTAATAAGAATGTCATAAAAGTCTACTATTTAGGTGGTTTCTTTCTAAGTCAGAGTGTATCTGGCTGACAGGCAAGGAACCAACAGTCTGCCTACAAATAAAACAGGTCTGTAAATAGATATGTACACAAAACTTAAGTTCTAGAACAGTAGTTCTCAATCTTCCTAATGCTGCGACCCTTTAATACAGTTCCTCATGTTGTAGTGACCCCCAACCATACCAATACTTTTGTTGTTAATTCAAAACTTCAGTAAATATGTCTTTTCCCAATGGTCTTAGGCGACCCCTGTGAAAGGCACGTTCGAGCCATAAATGGGTCGCGACCCATAAGTTGAGAACCTCTGTTCTAGAACAAGACTAAAGCTAAAGACCGGAAATGGTTGAATAACCAGAACTGTGTACTAAAGTTTACAACCAGTGAACACAATGAAGATAATGATGAAAGATGGCCAATACAAACAATACAAATAATACATCAAAGAGAAGTGATTACTGTAAGTAATCAGCCTTTTTAACATACAGACATGGTTATTTTTTTTCCCCATTCCTAAAATGGGTATCAAGAAATGTCATGGGAAGTAAAGGCAACTGACATTATATTATCCCCATCACAGATCATGTGCTGAATAATAAATGTAACTGTTGGGCTAGTATATACCCTATAACCAATATTCTTCATTATGATTGTGGAAGAGTTTCTCTAGCATGAGCAGGTCTGGCTAGTCACACTCGCCATCGCCACCGTCTGTGAGTCCCATGCCTCCACATAGTGCAATTTAACACTACTGTGTGGAGCGACAGAAAAGTGCTAATCAAATACTCCTCATGGCAAGGAATTCTAGTGAAATATGACTAAAAAGCTTAACGAAAACGGGAAAGCCAGAAAACTTGCACAAAACAACATAAATAACGTTTCGGCTAAAAGGTTGCCGGCAGAAACATTAGTTGTGTTGTTTTGTGCATGTTTTCCTGCTACCCCATTTCATTGAGCTTTTTAGTCATATTTCACTAGAATTCCTTGTATTAGCTTGACTGCAGTCACACCCCATATTTTCACTCAGGGCAGGTGAGAAGTTGTTTCCATTTTTTGCTGCTAACGATTGAACTCTGGTCTCATTATCACTACCATCATCATCATTGTCCTGTTATGCCATATATATGTGTCATATATGGCTTGCAGTCTATTCTTCCATTCTCTTCTTTCCTGTGCAACCACTTTGATATCATGGATGCAATACACTTCACTACACTATACTATATCACATTACTCTACGTTATGTTATATTATGTCACTTGGATATCATGGATGCAATACCCTACACTACACTATACTATACTACATCACATTACTCTACGTTATGTTATATTATGTCACTTGGATATCATGGATGCAATACACTACACCACACTATACTATACTACATCACATTACCCTACATTATGTTATATTATGTCACTTGGATGTCATGGATGTGATACACTACACTATACTATACTTCATCACATTACTCTACATTATGTTATATTATGTCACTTGGATATCATGGATGCAATACACTACACTATTCTATACTGCATCACATTACCCTACATTATGTTATATTATTTCACTTGGATATCATGGATGCAATACACTACACCACACTATACTATACTACATCACATTACCCTACATTATGTTATATTATGTCACTTGGATATCATGGATGCAATACACTACACTACACTATTCTATACTGCTTCACATTACTCTACGTTATGTTATATTATGTCACTTGGATATCATGGATGCAATACACTACACTACACTATACTATACTACATCACATTACCCTACGTTATGTTATATTATGTCACTTGGATATCGTGGACGCGATACACTACACTATACTATACTACATCACATTACATTACATTATGTTATATTATGTCACTTGGATATCATGGATGCGATACATTACACTATACTATACTACATCACATTACATTACATTATGTTATATTATGTCACTTGGATATCATGGATGCAATACACTACACTATTCTATACTGCATCACATTACTCTACGTTATGTTATATTATGTCACTTGGATATCATGGATGCAATACACTACACTACACTATACTATACTACATCACATTACCCTACATTATGTTATATTATGTCACTTGGATATCATGGATGCAATACACTACACTACACTATTCTATACTGCTTCACATTACTCTACGTTATGTTATATTATGTCACTTGGATATCATGGATGCAATACACTACACTACACTATACTATACTACACCACATTACATTATGTTATGTTATGTTATGTCACTTGGATAGCATGGGTGTGATACACTACACTATACTATACTACATCACATTACATTATGTTACTTGGATATCATGGATGTGATACACTATACTATTCTACATCACATTGCATTATGTTATGTTATATTATATTATGTCACTTCGATATCATGGATGGAATCCAGTCCAGCACTTTTGGCTTTTCTCAACAATGTTTATTTTAGGTTGTCTTTGGATATCTTCACTTCCTCAGTCACTTTATTTCTCACTTTAGTTCCTGTTTGGGGATTCTCTGTTCATTTCTTCTCAGGATGTGTCCAATACAGTGCAGCCGTCTTTATCCACTGTTGTTACCACTTGTTGTCCAGACATTCTCCTAATTCTTCACCTCTCTTGAGAACTCTTGCCTAATGTGCCTTTAATAAGCTCACACACAGTCACTATGTTACCATGACTCCACTCACCAGAGTACATCCTCTTTTGTCCGCCCTGCCATTCGATTATCCAGCTCTTCTTGTACCCGCTTCTGAATGTCCTGGTGCTCGGCAATTGAGTACAGTGCCCAAGATATGGCACTTGCTGTTGTATCATGGCCTAGAAAAACAACATAGGAATTATTAGTTTTCTGTTCTTCCTCTACCTGAGCTTAATACCATAATATAAAAGTGATAACTCCATTTCAGATTTATAACTTTATCTCCCAACAGTTATATAAATTCTATCCTGATATACAGAAGTGAATCATGGACAATTAGATGATTAATTAAAACTATATGGAAGTGGCGATGGTGTGGTTTTGTAGCCAAATGATGAGAATACCATGAACAGATTTTTAAAAAATAAAAAATAATGAAGATGCCTGAAATGAAACTGAGACAAGATTTTCCACATCAGTAAGAGACAATCTACATTTTTTGGTTTGTTCTTCTTCTTAGAGTCCATGTCGTGTGGCGTTGGTAGTAGTGTCTTTCCACATACTTTTGTCTCGTGTACATTCAATCAACTCTGACACAAATGATCTTCCATGCCATCTTCCAGCATCTGTTCTCTCGGCTTCCTTTTGCCTCTCCTCCCCTCCAGCTTTCCCACCGCCATAATGTTCTCCAGTTTTTTCCTTCGCATCATATGACCAAAGAATGTGGATTGTCTCTTTCTGATGTGAGTAATCAATTCGCTTCGTGAGTCAGTTTCTTTCAAGATGTCTTTATTACTCTTGTCATCTGTCTAGGGCATTCTCATCATTCGTCTACAAAACCACATCTCCGCAACTTCAAAATGGTCATGTTATGAATTGAGTTGAGTTGAGTCAAGAATTGACATCATAGCACTCGGGGCATTCTCATGCATGCTCCGTTCTCATCTTCAGCAGCTAGCGAAGAGTTCTAATACTGATGTTACCAGTAACAATCTGGTTTTTTTGTCCGTCTTGCCTTTCCTCCGAAAGGAAGAAGCCGGCCAGATCCTCTGGTTACACCCAGGTGCCTCATTCTCTCCAGGCCATAATAATCTTGTTTCTCCGCTGATTTCGTTATTTAACCCAAAAGGCCCCGACCACATCTGCCTTATCATGTATCAGTTCACCACCCAGTGGTGCCTGTTCATTGCCCACTACACCAGCCTGGAAAAAAGATCCAAAGTATGCTCACTACCCGTGACCTTTCCAGTGGAGCTTGCCACTCTACTCGAAGCATCCCTGTCTTCACCTTTCTCAGCATGCCTCAAGAGTCTGTTACAGTTACAATTTGTGTATGCATCTTGGTCATGCTATGAGAACAATAAAACTGGAATAGATCATGATGGTGGGAAGTTTGAGGCAGAGGGAGACTGAGAGAGAAGATGCAGGAGGTCTAATGTCATGGCATAGAAGATCATCTGTGTTAGAATTAACTGAAAGTACACAAGACAGAAGGTTTTAGAACGACATGACTACCAATGTTACATGGCATGGACTTTAAGAAGAACCTCGTCTTTCAAATCTAAACTCAGTCTCGCTTGCTTAAAACACATTTAAGAGAGGATCATACACTGATTTATGTAGCAATATAGACATAGATCAATAAAAAAAATACTAAAATATATATAGAAAAGCAAGTGAAGCTTTCACAGCCCCATAAAATTTGTAGAAGCCAAATATAATTAATTATAATATAAAATTGAGAATATATAAGTTTAACAGTAAATGAGGAATGATGTGTGCATCTGAAAAATTAAAAATTTCTACAGCATTTACTAACAGACTAAAATAAAAATTGTATTCACTCATGCCTGTGTTAAATCATGATAATCATACTGTCCACAGATCAAATTATGACAACCAGCTCCTCCCACTGACTGAATCCTGACGTCACTCACACTTATCCCATGTCAAAACCAGACCTAACAAACTGTTCGGCTATCTTCCAAATAACGATCCCAAATTATCAAGGCAGAAAATATTTCCTAACAGGGCCTCAGTCACGTGTCAATTGCTCAATCACGTGACTGAGGCCCTGTTAGGGTATATTTTCTGCCTCGATAATTTGGGACTGTTATTCGGAAGATAGCCAACTGTTCCCCTTTATCAAATTGCATCTCTGTCTATTCTTCCCATCTGCATAACGCCAACAAAACCTCTTTCAGATCCTGACTCAAAACAAAAATCAAGGATGCGTTTCCATTAATTGACACCAGAACATAAACTTCAAACACTCACCTTCGAACAAGAATGTGTCCACTTCATCTCGAATCTCTTCATTAGTCAGCCCAACATCATTTTCATCCTTGGCAGTCAACAAGATATCCAGGAAGTCTAAACACTGACGGTGTTTCTGTGTTTTGTTGATATCTGGAAGTCCTTCTTGTTTCTGTTATTCGATAAATTGTACTTATTTATATTCAACATCTAAGGAGTAACAAAGTTAGATGCATTTACAAACAAAGAAATTAGAATAATATGAAGTTTGAAACCATTCATACAATTCATTTATGAACAACTTACTAAATGGATTGGCTATCAGAAAAGAATTTTCTGGTATCAGCTACCATAAACTGAAGTTATATAAAGAATTAAAAACAACAGGATGAACACACATAACATAACATAACCCTTGACCTGTTAGGATCATGGAGATGAATTTATGGAAGCACTAACAGATAAAACCAGCCATCTTTCTCTGCCTTCCGCCTGATGAATAAGTGTAGGATAACTTAGTCCTGTCCATTTCTTGATTTTGTCTTTCCAGGTTCTTCTTTGCCTTTCTCTTTTTTAACAACCCACCAATGGGCGAGCTACATGTTGTAGTAAAGAATATGATCACTTGGATTGGGGAGGGGGGGTGTGCATATAACAAACGACTGCACAGGGGTGTCATTTATTGAAGGAGTAGACAACAACAATCTGAAAGGGACAATAAGCAAAACTGACTTATAGAAAAATAGGTGAAGGGGTACTAACAACAGATGAGTCATTCTGCCTGGTGAATATCTTCTTCTTCTTCTTCTTCTTTGTTCACTGGCTGTAAGCTCCAGTAGAAAGTCCTGGTTGTTCATCCATTTGGCCTTTGGCTTTGTGCCAGGGCCTTAGTTTTGCCTGCACATCCGTTTTTCTGGCATATTTGTGTGCAGCTGGCTTTCTTAGCCACTCAGGTAAATGCACTCTGACTTTGAAGGAAGTCCCCAGTTAGTTAACTCCTATGATATGCTTGTTGGGGATGGAGTCTATTCTTATCTTCCCCATAATGGGGCCCCAGAACCCACACAGGGGTGCCCTGTGAATATGAGACCAATCAATACTGAGGAGTGCAAGCACAATGCATGAAAAACTTGAGGGATGAGGAGCAAATAAGAGACTTGAAAAAAGAGCTCCAGAATAAATTTGAGATGACACAGAACCCTTAAGAAACACTATTGCCAAGGCAGAATACCACAAGAACCTGAAGTAGCAAGCAGCAAAGATAAATCCCAACAGAATGCAGGCATAGCATTAACTGGCAATACTGGATGACATGGGGGTGGCAAAATATACCTAGAGACTCTTTTTAAGGAATTGTCACTATCAAGATAAATCAAAATCATAAATTGTGACATCAAATGAGAGCCTCACAATAACCTCTACAGATGTGAGAATAAACCATGCAATCAGAGTTCACCATCAAATAAGACAGCCAAATGGAGATTGCAGTTGTAAACAAAAGATGTTATAAGCTGGTTGAATGAGATCCTAACGTGCATCAATATAGGATTTATATAGCTGTTAAGAATTCTCTTTCTTGTCTCAATTGACAAAGAAAGACTGCAAAAAATATTCTTAATTTTGTAAAAACGCTGCCTTTACTTGAGCTTTTCGACATTTAACTTCTGTAATACATCTGATGTTATCAGGGTACCAGAGAACTTAAACTTATCAACTTACTTAAGGTTTGTTCCATTTACTTTGATGTTGCATTTTGGAGGGTCAGTTTTTTTTTTTTTTTTGGTAATTACCATTACTTCCATTTTTCTGCTGTTCAAACTAAAACCCTTGTTTTCACTTTTCATTACAATTATATCCATCACTTCTTGCAGTTGTGTTTAATTTTCAGCATCCAAAACCATATGACTACACTTGGGAGGGGACACTCCCACGCATATTCCATCCTCTTCTTCAGTAGCCAACGAACAGTTGACATGCTTGTAGTACAGCTGCAACCTGATTAAAATTCTGCCTGTTTTTACCCTTGGTGTTCAATACCTTCCAGAACCTCTACTCAACCTTTGTTGAATAAGTCTTTCAATGTATGGATTCTCTGTCTGCTCTATTGCCCTGTCCATTTGATTTCAGAAAGCCTTTGCCGCGTCAACTTTATCATAAAGTAGCTCTCTGTACAGAGATGTGGCAGCAGCTAATCTAACAGCCCACTCGTCACCTCCCACACCTGAATGTCCTGGACAGAAAATACATGATATGCTCTTGATCTGAGTCTTAAGTTTAGTCTTCAAGGCAACACATTCATCTCCTGCATGGTGCCGTATATTTTAACCCCTAGGGATGTGGTAAACCTATAATTCTGTTGTCTTTACACTCGCAACCGGCCATCAGCTATAATCTTCTTGGACTGAAAAAGTTAACATAATTACTGGCAGGTTTTATTTTTCAAGACATTTTCTGGTGTTAATTTTTGAGTGAGTGAACATTTTTTTGCTAAACACTGATGCAAGTTTTGGCTCCTAACCGCCAAGTGAAAAGACTTTTGTGCTAGAAGCTACCATGAATTTCACTACTACTGACTAAAAGCTGATTATCACCTTTCTATCTTTCCAGATAATAGGTTATATTGTGCTATAGTGAGGCATGGGGGTCACAGTAAATGGCAGTAAAATGTGACTAAACGGTGCCCCATAAGTTTCCATATCTAGGAAAAATTAAACATGTCACCAACACCATTACAGGGATAAAACAAGATCACAACTTATGAGGAAAACAGAATGTGCATCACTGGCAAATGTTATCAAAGTAAGAAGATGGGGGTGGCTTGGACATGTTTGCAGAATGCCTTGTGACACTCTGGCAAAAAACAGCTCTCCAGTGGACAGCAGATGGGAAAAGGAGACGTGAAGGACCTAAGGAAACCTGGAGAAGGACAATAGAACGGGAAATGAAGGGATGTAAACTGACATGGGATACCATGGGCAGAAAAGCAGCAGACCGGCAGTAATGGAGAGAGATCACTTGTGAATGCCTTATGTGTCTACAGTGACATAAAGAGGATATAGATAATAGATAGATTACAGGGATAACTCCAGCTGTGCTTTCACATGTTCTTTAACACTGGGGTTTGTGCAATGAAATGTTTTTAACATAATGGCATTTTTCTTATGTATGGACACTTACATATTGCTTGCTACCAATGGGAAATGTCTTCTTAAATTAGAGCAAAGAATTAAATGCTACAACAGTATATAATCTATCTTACATTTGTATACTGACTTTTACAATGCTCTACTGTAAATGAATCTCACAATAATTTCCTTCCTTCTGTTAATGATATCCTCAGCAACCTTGTGTACAAAGTCACAGTATTTTTTCATGCGCCGACCAGAAGGTGTTAGGGAATAGATGAAGTCATTGTACAGCCATGGTTTACTGTCAATATAGAGGGGAAACTATGTCTGCAGGAAGATTACAATCAACACTCTTCCCATTGTAAATTTGAACAAAGAAGACACAAACAACAGATTGTACAATTTTTTGTGCCTCCCACATTTTGCTGTATCTCATCAGTGCATTAACAATTAAATAAAAGGAAGCAAGTAAATGAACCTTTTTACAACTGAAATGCAAAACCAACCACTCTCTAATGTTTGTTTTACCAGGGCAAGTGAAAGTGCTCTACCATGTCATTTTGTTTACACAAATCTGGACTGAAGTGATTAACTCTGCCAGACCGCTGTTTCAATAATTTAGTAATCTGCTGTTAAACCGCTGTACCTAATTTTTTTGTACTTTGCGTACTACATGAATAAAATGCATCACAAACTAAAAAATGGCCAACCAATCGTGGTCAAACCGTGTGGTTAGTCATTGCAGATGTCTGCCCCCATGTGTTTAGATTGACTTTATGGTTGAACATGAAAAAATTCTGAAAATTGACAATGAAACGAGCCGCTGATAAACCAAGCACTTTAACACTTTAACAGAAAAGTGAAGCATCTCTGGACTTTTCACATTCCAACAGGTGATCAATACTTTAGTTTATTCAGCATCTGAGGAGTCAGAATTTCAACAAGAATATGTTCCCGGTTCAAGTGACACAGTCTGTGAGAGCTTGGGTGATGAGGAGAATCTTGAATTATATAGATCTAGAGCTAGATCGAAGTAAGAAAAGGGGAGGGGGGAGATCTAGATGGTGATGAAGGTTGGACAAGGAATTTTGTATCACCAAATACAGATCTGAATTTCAATGATGAAAGGTTAACCTATTTTCTACAATGTCTTTACATTTCATCTTATTCTAACCACTTGTTTGCATGTAGCTAATACTTTTGTATATTATGTTGGTTTTTTCGCTTTAATGCCCAGGAGCCCAGGTTAGGTTCAGGGCCTCAGGTCTGGTAGAATTAATCATACCTGCTTCAGAAAATCATAGGACTCTGCCACTGTTCAATATATAGAAATTTACTATTTGTGTCTTCTTCCTTCATATTAACAATGTAAACAATTGGAAAACATGGACAGTTATTTTTTGAACTGTTTTCATGGTTTTTTGAGAAGTACAATTATTGGTACAACTCACGTTTGTGTCTGCAAAACCTCACTCCACACAGTCATAGGTTATTTTTTTACCTCCCATTCATGAGCCGTAATCTTTCCCACAGGCTACTGTATCTTCCAGGGGTGTCATGTTCTGTTTTTTTTTTATCATTCATGCGTTCTGTGTTCCGCGCTGTGAGCGGGCGACAAGCAAAGCAGAGCACCATCATAGCATCTGTAAAGCTCAAGGCTCCCATTGCTCCGTTTTTTTTTTCAACTAAGCTGTGGTTTTTTTTTTTTTTTTTTTTGTTGAAGTCTGAGCTTCTTGCTTTTTATTTTAAAGATTATGGACAGTCTTCAATTCTGAGTCTTACATATGAGAAAACTAGAACTAATAAATATCTATGCCATAATAGATATAACCTAACCCTTACCCTAATCCTAAGCCTACCCCTAACCCAAACCCAAACCCCACATCCCCCCCCCAATCCCCAGACAGCCCTTATTATGGCCCACTCCAAAATGCCATCATTTCTCACATCAGAGATGCTTGCAGAAGACATGAAAAGTCTGTTGACCACCTGGCCCTGCACAGAAACAACCAAAGAACAAGAAAGATGTAATAACCACTTCCTCACTCACCAGCTAGGAAAGACACGTGCACAAAGCCATCGTGTCTGGTATCGAACCAGGTGGTATCCTGAAACCCCTAGAAGATACTGTCACCCATGGGAAAGATCACAGCTCATGGATGGAAGGTCAAGAAAGTGGGATTTGCAAACACAGACATGAGTTGTTCCTAATTATTGCACCATGGAAGTGACTGGAGCCTCATTACATAATATTCCCAAAGTTCCTTCCCCATGTGGGTTCTGAAGCCCCATTTGGGAATGGGGGGATAGACCCATCCCCTTTCTCCTTTCCCAATAATCCATGTTGTAGAACATAACAAAATAGGGATTTTCCTTCAGAGTGCTTTTGCCGGAGAAATGTGAAACCATCAGCCTGTACACAAATAAAGCAGATCTGTAAAATTGATGTGCATATTAAACTCAAGTTCTGGAAGAAGACAAAAATCCAGAAGTGGTTGAACAACCAGAACTTTCTGCCAGAGTTTACAGCTTGTGAGCACTAAAGTGAAAAAGAAGGTACTCCTACAGGCAGCCATGGGTAGCCCTATATAGTATCACATGAATGTCCTTACACTGGAACCCAAAGTGCAACAACAACAAAATCAGTAACCTCTCAATTAAGCATGAGAACTTGTGTAACTACATTATTTATTTTACAAGCAAGAATTAACAACCATGGCAGCATAAAAACAAAATTCATAAGTAATTTTAAAAATGATGTTTTTATCCACACTTACAAAAATCTGTCAACCAGAAGCTCCGACATTTTATTTACTGCTTGGACGTATGGATGACTTTCTCTGAAATAATATACAAATATGGTTCCTCAATCAATCAGGTGCCTTCTCCACAATAAAGATTGGATTCAGTGGATCTCCAATACACTTTGACTCCTGATTTTTTTTTTTTTTACCCTATGACAGACTGGTGTTAGTTTAGAGTTTCCAACTTATGAAATCACAATGTAGATTAATAAAATGGTGACACAGTTGCAGTATAATTATGGTTCCCCCAACTAGTGACATTCAACAAAGTTGAGCAACATTCCATTATTCCATAAAGTGGATACTACAGTAAAAAAAAATCTTAAATGAAGTAAATTAATCCTTTCAACTTGAAATATAAAATATTAACCACATTTTAATGTATCTTTTACCAGGGTAAACATAAGTTCACAGCTATATCTTTTTGTCAGCCAAAATGGGTGACCAAACTTGATCACACCTGCTTTATTGTATTAAATTACTTCTGCAGTATTGACTTGACAATATATAGTGAAATATACCAGGCAGTTGGTTGTATGTGTTTTATTTGTTCAAGGGGCTGTGAAAAAGCGCAAGACTTTTAAGATATGCTCAAGTGAAAATCATGAGTGACTTGAGGGAGATGGCTTTTCTCTTCAAGAAGAGCATCAGAACAGCATCAGCACCCCAGGATTTGGTACTCAGCTACCTAAAAAACATTTCCAGAACTAGGCAAACATAATTCCAGACTCAGCGGTTTCATGATTATCATCCTACAAAATACTTGTGACTAGGGGCTGTAAAACTACATATTTTTGGGGAAAGGAACGAGCTCCTGCCAACAGATTAAGGTAGTTACCTGCCAAGGAAAGATACACTGTCAAATGCAGCTACTTTTGCTTTTGATGTTTATGAAGGATTCCAGAACAGACAGGAGACAGTTGTGGCAGCACTTGATCTTGAGGATGCTTACTATAGAGTCAGAAATGATGTTTTGATATCCGTACTCATGGAGAAATGAGTGTGTCACTGGTTGGTGAACTGGATAGCAGCAGTCCTGCATTTATGTATGGCTGCCCTTCACCTAGGTACATGGACCTCACAACCATGTAATATAACCCAGGGACTACCCCAGGGTTCTGCAATTTCCCCAGTGCTCTTCAATGTGTATACAAGCAAGATTGCAGAACTTGAAGCACAAGGTGTTGGAAGGATATTGACATTTGCAGATGATGTTTATGCATATAGACAGGGGAATGATAGGCAACGAATAGCCAAGAGCTGCAGGCAACTGTATACAGAATGACTGACTGGTGTGCAGAGATGGGTGCTGTCATCGGCTCAGAAAAGGCAGTAGTTTTGTGGTGCTCTCTGGACAGTAGAATTGTAGGAGTTAATGTTCCAAGCCTCCCAATTAATGACAGAAACATCAAAAGAGAAAGCAAACTGAGCTACCAGGGTATCATTTTTTATAGAAGCCTCTCCTTCAGGAATCATGTGGAGGCAGTTGCGGTGAAATGAAAAAAAAAAATAGGGACTCAACACTCTTAAGATTATGGCAGCAATAGACATGGAACAAAAACTGCTGTTCACAATGTCTCAACATGTGATCCTGTCTGTGCTAGATTACAGACTTGACAGGCTTACCATATCAAAGAGTCAGCTGATGAAACTTAAATGCATACAGAATGAAGCCATGCAGGTAATTCTGTGATGTACAAGAGATACTCCAGTAGTATGTATGCATTATATACTTGCACGGACTACTATTGCAGATAGACTTTGTAATGAATGCAGTTGTGGGGTGAGTGTTACACTCTTAAGGAGGCAATGAAAAATTACTAAATGCACAAACTGCTTAATAAAACACAACAATAATAAATTATGGGGTTAGTCTGTGGCATACTGAAGAGGACATGCAATTAAACTAGTTGAATCCATCTTTGATTAATTCAGCTTGCTGCGGTGACAAGCTTTTCTCAGCATGTATTAACTAGAACCAGACTACAAAAACACAACAACAAAGTCTAGTGATCATTGTGTACTCTCTCAGGTGCTTTATAACAATATTATATTGTATTGTTTTGTATTGTATTATATATTGTATTGTATTGTATTGTATGTCGGCTCTGTGGCTAAGTCGATGTGAACGCTTCGCAATGCCGGGATGCTGGGTTCGATCCCAGCTGCGGGCCATGCGCCTTGCGTTGATTTCGACAGTGGTATCAAGAAAGCTGACTTCCAGAAAGCAATAGCAAACTACTGGGGCTGTTGGGGTTGGTTCTGCAACATCCTGTAAAGGATACACAACTAACCTGTTATTATATTGTATTGTACTGTATTGTATTGTATTGTATTGTATTGTATTGTATTGTATTGTATTGTATTGTATTGTATTGTATTGTCACAAGAGAAGAACAAGCTGCTTTTCAAACTGGAAGAAGCTGTCTGAACCAAATAATTACCCTGAGACATGTTCCAGAAGAACACATTGAGAAGCAACAACCTCTCATCCCGACTGACTTTTATTGGTTTCAAGAAGGCCTTTAACAGCTTACACAGAATTTCACTATGGGGAATTTTGGAATGCTACAGTATACCAGCCAGAATAATATGCATTATTATAAAATTATATGATGGTTCAGAATGTGCAGTGTGTACTGAAAATGGTCTAAGTGAATGGACTTTAGTGAAAACTGGGTTAAAAAAGAAGGCTGCATTCTATCTCCCTTGTTGTTCTGAGTAGCCACTGATTGGGTAATGAAAACATGTTGCAAAGGCAATATTTGCAATTATTTAGTTTGAGAACAGACAGTTGAAAATCTTGATTTCCCAGGTGATATGGTTCTGTTAAATAAAAATAACAAAGACATGCAAAGAAAAACAGATAATTTGTCATCTACAGCATTACAAATTGGACTATAAATAAGTTATATGAAAACAAATATATTAAAGATACTAACAACAGATCATGGATGTCATGCTAGAGAACAAACTAATTAAAAATAAAGGACCATTTTACCTATTTAGGTATCTCAAGGAGATACAGTGACGAATATTATGAAACACATAGGCAAGCAACAACAGTCTTAAAAAGCCTTCAGAAAATATGAGGTTTCAATACTGGAGCTTTTTTGACCAAATTATGAATCTTCAGTTCTGTGATGGCTCTGCTTTGCATGGTGGCACATGGTCACAGCAAGCCAGGCAGAAAGCCCATGAAAGAGACGATGGTGTGGGATACCCAGGGCTGAAGAGATGAACGAAGAAAGATCTGAGGTTGGCTTTTGGTCAGTTGCACACCAGAGATCGAGGAAGACGGTTGTGGTATTTGAAGATGGTGAATGTAGCGTAAATGAGTTGCTGGTTGGTTCAAACTATGATCACTAGAAACCAGCATGGGGTGAGCATCATTGCACTAAAGTTATTTGTCTTCTAACATTGGAGAACTACTAAAGATATGGAATGAAGGTTAAATACATTTGAAAATAAATGTCTGAGAAAAATCACAAACATAAAATGGAACGAATTATAACAAAGTGAGGAGATCAGAGAAATGTCTGGACAAATACCTGTATCAATTCAGTAAGACAAAGAAGGTGGAGATATACTGGGCACACTCTGAGACCAAATAAGCAAACAATTACAAAACAGGCAATAAATGGGAAATAAGTGGTCTGAGAAAAAAAGGACGTCGAGGAGTCCAAGGGAGACATCTAGAAGAACATTGTTACGAGAGGTTAAAAATTGCTGGAATGAACTCCATGTCAAGAATCGAGAGAGTTGCATGAATTATTATATTACATTATACTACATTACATTATGTTATATTAAATTACAGAAAATTGTATTATATAATATTGTATTAAATTAAATCTCTTTTTTCTTTGTGTTAACCGACTGTGAATTCTGGCGGAAAATAATATTTGTTCATCCATTTGAACTTTTGGCTTTGTACCTGGACCTAAGTTTTGTATGTACAACTGTTTTACTGGCTTATTTGTGTGCAGTTCTTGTTTCCTGCCTCTCAGACAGATGTACTCTGACTTTGAGGAAATATATCATCTTATTACATATCAAATTTCGTTACACTACACTATACTATACTACATCACATTCCATTTTGTTATGTTGTTATATTATGTTATATTATGTTACATTATATTATATTATGCTATGTTATGCAAAGCTTATCGTATTATATTATTATTATTATACTGTTGAAAAAAAAAAGAAATGCAGTTATCCAATAGCTCTTTACTATTAGTTGATGGAAAATTCCATATGTCTGAAAACTATTAAAGGCCCAGATGCAAAATAACTGTCAATTGGCTGGTGGAATTCTAAGATATTTTTGTAAGCACTTTGAACCAGTTCATTAAATTACAAACATTTTGAATGTCAAAATTATATTCCTTTCAGTAGCTATGCGTTTGTTGTTGTGTTTTATTGTACATTTCTTCAAGTCTGTCCTTCCCAGATAGCCGATACTTTAAAATGACAGCAGTATGATACTGAAATAGTAAATTACTGTACATACCCTAAATTCTGACAATTCGTTTCATAGGACATAGCACTTCTCAGAATGACATCAAGCGTGTACATGGTCACATTAGCAAATACGTGAAACGGTTGGTTAGCTTCGGCTGCCTGAGCAAACTTTTTCTGTGACAAAAATTGAAATTAATACACAATGACACATTATTTTGTAAAAAATAAAAGACTGTATTGCCTATTCAAACTACCTCTGTGAATAATAGTAGGCAAGACGCCAAAACCAAAACAGCTTATGGTACTTAAATATCAAAACTAGCCCAGAATTAGATAGTCTTGGGGGAAGAGAGATCATTAGAGTCTCATTACTGGCAATCTTCACTGTAGATGTGACATCTCACTGGTTGGTTGATTTGAGTTGATTCAAGAACCGGCATCACAGCACTCAGGGCATTCCCATAAGCGCTCCGTCCCCATCTTCAGCAACCAGCGAAGAGTTCCAATACTAATGGTGCCAGTAGCATTCTGATTAAACGTCCGTCGTTCCTTTCCTCTGAGCCTCGAGCATCTGCCAGAACCTCTTGTCACTCCCCCCTGCATCAATCTCACCAGACTGTGGTGATCGATCTGCTCCTCCAAACTGTACACGCTCTCCCACAAGGCACCAACCACGTCTGCCTTATCATGTATCAGTATTCCATCAAGTTGTGCAGAGCCAGCCAGTCTGTCCGCCTGTTCATTTCCCAACACTCTGGCGTACCCGGTGAAAAAAAATTCAGACAATAGTCCTCACCTGTGTCCTCCGCAGCAAAGCATACCACTCTGCAAAAAGCATGCCTGGTTGGTTGGTTAGCTAGTTAGTTAGTTAGTTGGTTAGTTAGTTAGTTAATTGGTGTTGGTTGGTTGGCTAGTTAGTTGCTTGGTGGGTGGTTGGTTGGTTGGTTGGTTGGTGGGTGGTTGGTTAGTTTTTGGTTGGTTGGTTGGTTGGTTGGCTAGTTGGTTGGTTGGTTGGTTGGCTAGTTGGTTGGCTAGTTGGTTGGTGGTTGGTTGAAGTAACACATGTAAATCCTAGATTTGCGATAAGTGACAAAAAAGCAGAAGACTCCAAGGGAATGCTACTCACATTAAGGACCTTATGGTGTTTCAAACTATGAATGGTAGACTTTTACTGACCACTGCACCACAAAAACCCCATAGTTTATATCATGTAGATCTCATTTGGATGTGGGAGTGAAAGGAAAGCCACCTTATTGATTCATGAAAATACATTTATAGGCTGTCACAATGCTTAGATTTTACAGTTGTGATAAGTTTGTAATCGTTTGTATGCTGAAAGAAGATAACAATATGCTTATGAAAGCTCTATGACTGTTTCAAAGTCATTTTCTTAACCTCTGGTTAAATCAGTCAATGTACAAAAAGAATTCAAAAAATTATCTACACTTTTGACATTACTCTTCTCACATTGTCTATACTGACTTCTGTCCTTGCTTATTTTATTGTTATACTGTTGTGGTATGGCTATGAAAATTTTATCCTAATTCCGTCATTTTGCTTCCTTCTGTTGCAGATAGATCATGGCAGCCACTTTAGAAGCTTGCATCAAAGAGGAACAACGAGCAGTGATATGATTCCTCTGGTCAGAAGGTGCCAAAGTTTCAGAAATTCATCGTAGACTATAATCAATCATCAATATGGGGGAAGCCCTATCATGTAAAACTGTGTTTTTGTAAATCAGGAATTTTAAAAGTGGTTAGACAAGTGTAACACATGAAGAGGTAGCATCAACTTCCACTATAGATGACAACATTCAGCAAGTTCGAGAGATGGTTTTGGTAAACAGGTGAATTGCCATCAATGAGATAGCATCCGTGTTAAACATTAGTCATGGTTCTGCCCATCAAATCATCCATGATGAGCTTGGCTTTCATAATTTCTGTGCACGGTGTGTACCAAGAAAGCTTGCTGCAAAATACAAGCTCACCTGTGCAAAATGTGGTCCAAAAGTGGCTTCACGACCAATCAAACACTTTTTTTGGGGAAAGAATATGTAAGCTTATTGACGGTTGGGCAAAGTGCATTGATAAGGAGGCAAATTGCATAGAAAAATGGTGTGCATAGTGTAACCATAATTTCATGAAAATAATTGTAAAATGAAAAATGCAGATAATTTTTTACTCTTCCTTGTACAATTAAACTTTAAATATCAAATATGAATTTCAGTTAAATTTGGTAACCTTTCTGGAACAATTTATAGCAAGTATTTTTAAAAAGTCAGGAAGATTGTACTTCTTCTTTTGTTCACCAGAAATAAATTATCTATATCTGCAATACTGTCTCTAGTATGAACTTCACTGTCTTTTGTAATTCACTTAGTGACCCGTAAAGTTTGGCTTCCACCACCGTCTCTCCTGTTGTATCTGGACAGTCTTGGAGGATGTGATCTGTTGCCTGCTGTACCAGTCCACATGTACACATGGCTGATTCGCCAATCTTAAATTTTGTGTCATGTGGCTGCAAAGTAGATTGTGCCCTGTTCTAGGGCATAGGATAATGACTTGCTCTGGTCTGTCTATAATATGTTTATCATCTTGTGAACAGTTTCGGAGGCTTTCAGATTAATTAGATTATTCTCTTATTCTGTTGATTAGAGACTGGTACTTCGGGTTGTTCTTTGGTTGCACCTTCCTTTAGCTAGTTTATCAGCTCTTTAATTTCCGGAAACTCCACAGTGGGATGGTATTCATTACATAACTACCTTGCATCGGCTGCCTAGTTTAGATAGAAGTGTCCGTGTACCTGGTAATTTTCCAGATTGGAGAGCCTAAAGTACCGCTTTTGCATCTGTCAGGAATACCACTGGTTGGGAAAAATACCCCGTATTTAGTAGTTTCTCTGCTGCTATCTTGATGGCTTGAACTTTTGCATCATAGTTGTGACAGTGCTTTCCTGTTGGTATTTTGGCTGTATCCTTGGTATTATTAGGATGCTCAATGTACACTCCTGCTCTTCCATTTCTGATTGCATTCTGTGCAGACCCATCTGTATAAACACGAACCTAAAGATTCTGCGGGTATTCATCATCAAGTAAACTGATGGTGGCTGCTTTACGTTGCACACTGTTTTGTTCTTCCTTGTTAAATACTTCTTTCACTTCTGTTTTGATGTGTATTGGAAACGCATACTCCTCTCTCCAAGGTGTCTGTTCTGGGATAGCATTTAAGGGGCTTTCAGTTGCTGGCAGATTAGTGGTTTGTCTACAGAGCCGTTTGGCCTGGTGAATGAAACTGCTTCTCTTTAGTCACCCCAAAGCTAGATTTTGGAATCTTTCATTCATAGGGTGCTAAGAAATTTTTCTGCTGGTATTAGCATCTTGGTGTCTCTGTGTTCACTCAGTGCTTATGTCATCCACATTTTCTCCATCACAGCTATAGGTGTTCATTTCATACTTCTTCCTCTTCTTCTTCTTCTTCTTCTTCTTCTTTTTCTTCTTCTTCTTCTTCTTCTTCTTCTCTTCTTCCACCTTGTACCTCAGAGAAATGTTGGGGGGGGGATATGTAACATTTGTTGATGAGCTCTGTCAAGAGCAATATTAAGATTGATGTTAATTTCTGTAAGGCTTTCTTTATACCATCACTCTATATTTTATGAGGTCTTCCCCTTGCTCTATACCCATTGTAACGTTCCAGTGGGGCTTTCTGTGGCAGATAGTATCAGGGCATTCTTGTTAGATGTCCAAACCACTTCATTTGTTGTTCTTTAATGATCTATAAGACTGGTTTTAGCATTCGTCCAATTTCATGATTTCATACTGCCTGTTGTAACTCTAAGAGCTTGATTTTGCACTATGTCTTATTCTGGTAGTGTGGTTTTTTTTATCCTGAACTCAGCTGTTGATCCATATTCAAGGTGTGGTCAAACACTCAGCTTGCGTTATTTCTGTTTTCATATCATTGTGCAGTTGTTTGAGACCACAATTCCAGTATGTTTTATATTGTTACACGCACCTCTTGGTATTATTTCTAGAGCTGCCTGAAGTATGCATTTGCTGAACTCTTTGACTACATTTTCTGCATCGTCATCTGTGTTCAGATTTTTAAGCGGACCAGTTGTGTGGTGCTGATACAACTTCTAGTCTGCCTTCTTATAATTCCATCTTGGCAGAGTGCTGTGCTCTCTTACAGACTGGCTTTCTACAGTTAGAAAGATTGGCCGGTGGTCGCTGCCTCCTAGTTTCCCAGCAGTTCTGGTAACATTCAATCCCATGTCTGGTGAATTAAAGGTGAGGTCTGGTGTCGAGGTAGTATGCCATTCTCTTGAGTAGAAGGTTAATGGTTCGGTTGGTTTATTAATGAGGATAAAACTATTCTTATCCTCTTTGATCCATGTGATAATAGCCCCAACTTCGGGAGTGGCTAATGAAATAAGATTGTACTGAAATGATGGCTACAATTTCATAAAAACCAACACAAAGTTAACAAAACACTACAATTTACCAGTAGCATGTCAGCACACCTATTCTTCAACTCAATATAGTTTTTCAAGATTGTGAAATGAAAGGCTGGTGTCAGGAGTCTCCGGTTTCTTGCCCACTTCTTTCCTTTGCTAGTCAAGAGTCCATCTCCAATCCAAGGCCTGATCATGTTGTATACGATCTCACCTTTAGGCTCTGTGAATGAAGACAGCTGAGTGATAATATACAGAATTACATCACCAGGAGATACTGAGGCCTTTAATTACAGGGTGTTTTAAAAGTCTGACTACACTTTGTATGGAAAACAAATGTGAAAAATGATGTAAATGATGTCATTAAAAAACTGTGTTTCACAGCCAATCGCGAAGCAAATGGAGTAAATGGCAGTCATCTGCTGATATGGCAATATGAAGAGACATACATGTACAATCATGTCTTGAAGCCCGTTGTGGACATTTCCAAGACCTGTTACAATGAACATTTCATTGGTACTTTCCAGCCTCCCCAAAAATTGCTTTAGACCATAGCAGTAACAACTGTAACTAATTTAATGACTTTTCAAGCACAATTTTTTAATGACATTATGTACTTGGGTTTTTCATATTTGTTCCCCATACAAAGTGTAGGAAGACTTTACGAACGCCTTATGCTTTCATAAGGAAAGTGCTCCAGGTGTAGTGGCCAGACACTCGCCTGTGGATCAGAAGGTCCTGGGTTCAGGTCCTGATGATACCAGACTTTTCTTCTACATCTATAAGTGCCTGTCAGCACATTACATCCTTCTCTTCTTATTTCATCTACCTCTATAAGTGCCTGTCAGCTCATTACATCTTGTCCCTGCTTATTTCATCTACATCTATAGGTGCCTGTCAGCTCATTGCATCTTGTCCCTGCTTATTTCTTCTACATCTATAGGCGCCTGTCTGCACATTAAATTATGTCTCTACTGATTTCTACTACCTCTATAAGTGCCTGTCCACACATTACATCCTGTCTCTGCTTATTTTTACTATATCTATAAGTGCCTGTCAGCACATTACATTATGTCTCTACTGAGTTTTACTACCTCTGTAAGTGCCTGTCCACACATTACATCCTGTCTCTGCTTATTTTTACTATATCTATAAGTGCCTGTCTGCACATTACATTATGTCTCTACTGAGTTTTACTACCTCTGTAAGTGCCTGTCCACACATTACATCCTGTTGTTTAAATTACTACAGCTCTTCCTATATTACATCATATCTCAACTTCTTTTTTTTTTTTTGACATTTCTGAGTAAACGTCAGTGTATGAAAATGTTTCTATGACAGTCATGTGACAGTTGAGTTCACATGATGAGACATGCATGTGTGCATGAATGATGTATATTTGTGTGATAGTATGTTTATGTGTCAGTGTTGCAAGCGCGCTTTGTAATGCCAGGGTACCAGGTTTAATCCCAGCTGCAGACAATGTGGCTTGGACAGTAGTGCTGAGAGCTGATAGTTCAGAAAGCAATGGCAAACAATACTGAACATAAAATTTGCTTAGAAAAACTACAACAGCCAAAAAAAAGTGCTAGGTTGGTTCTGCAACATCCTGTCAAGGATGTGCAACTAGATAGTATGTGTATGGATGTGTGTGTCTACTAATGGCATATAATATATGTGGCAAACACTACTGAACATAAAATTTGCTTAGAAAAACTACAACAGCCAAAAAAAAGTGCTAGGTTGGTTCTGCAACATCCTGTCAAGGATGTACAACTAGATAGTATGTGTATGGATCTGTGTGTCTACTAATGGCGTAACTGTTGAGGAGCAGATGGAACTTATGTTCCTGGTAGAATAAAATAACATCTATCTAAATGAGAAGTACGACTAGTCAGCTTCACAAATCCACAACCACAAATAACAAAATAAATGTTGTAGCTAGAAAACCTTCATCAGCATCAAAACAATTGAAGCAATGATGCAAATACAAACAAAAATACATACAATCACAAATCTTTGTGTTTTATTTAGAGGCCAAATAGTATTGCAAAAACAAATAGTGCAGACGAGGTAGATTGACTGGAGCAGACAGTAGCAGTTCTGGGAATGTGTGATACATAAGAGGTGAAACTGCCGTGAAGTTATACAAATATGAAAAAATCTCAGTCCAGATGAGTAGTAGAACTAGTCAGTCATATTCATATGCTTCTTCGTCTTCTTTTTTGTTACCCGGCTGTAAGCTTCGGCAGAAAGTCGTGGTTATTGGCTTTGTGCCAGGGCCTGAGTGTTGCATATACATCAATTTTACTGGTTTATTTGTGTGCAGTTGGTTGTTCCTTGCTGCTCGGGCAGATGCAATCCGTCTTCAAAGAAGGTCACCAATTAGTAAATTCCTACAACATACTTTTTGGGGAGGCAATGGGTCTATTCTTGTTTTCCCACAATGGGAAACGGACGGGGAAAATCACAGGCTAAATTGTATTCTTCTTAGTGCTACCATTATAAGTCACAAATAATCATAATTCAATCCTTCCCTTACCTTCACAGCTCTTTTTTTTTCATAGCTACATAATATGAAAATAAAATAGGTTGAACTGCCAGAAAGGTGTAAGAAAACATTGGATAATATTTATATTTCTGTGTTCCTCATTTAAAAAATTGTAGTGTGGTTTACAGCTAAGCTGCAATATTTATGCTCTTCGGCCAGACACATACAATTTCAGCAAAGTTTTAATTTTACTCCATTTTCCCCTCCCCCATATCATACAAAATAGGTCCCAGAACTCAGTTAGGGAGAAGTGATAATTGAACAAAAACTGAAAGTAAAAAAGGGTCAGCTTTACAAGAAGGCAGCCACAAGTGGTGGAAATAATGCTACAGCTAGATAGCTGTAAATCAATGTGAATCAGCAACAACAAAAAATGATACTAAAAGAACAAATATTGAAAAAAAAATGCGTAATACAAAAAGTATTTCCTAATTCAAAAAATATAGGCCTTCATATCATTCTCCTCATGACAAAAAAATGCTCATATGTAATGCCTAACTCATCTGAACATAGAGGTGTGTGTTTCCAATAAGTACAGTACAGAAGATGTGAAGATTAAGTATTCAAGGAGAAAGAAGCATAAAATCCATTCTGTGACTTATGATTTTGTTTTTGCTAAGCAGACCCTTTCCATTTTCTGTTTATATTCATTACATCAAATGAACAAAGCATCTTCACGGGACTAAAATTGAATTTAATTGTACCTGAACTTTTGAGTATAACTTTCACAGTGTCTGGATGAGTGACTACAATCATTGGTGTCTGCATCCACCATGTCAAGAAACATCGAGGAAAACTCTGAGTCACTTCTCTTTGCATTGCCAAACCTCTTTCATTAGGCCCAGGATACTGTAAGATACCAGGATAATGATTTTAACTACAAGGATAATGGTTTTAACTGCAAGAATAGTGATTTTAACTGCAAGAATAGTGATTTTAACTGCAAGGTTATTAATTTTAACTGCAAGAATCATGGTTTAAACTGCAAAGATAATCGTTTTAACTGCAAGGATAGTGGTTTCAACTGAAATAAGTACTAACTTTGCATCCATAAGGGGCCCACAAGAGAAGCAAAGAATAGTACCACTGAAAGCTACCATGCATGTTGTAAGCATCACTTGAGAGTCAATTTTCAAAATAGGTTTCAGTAAGGATTTGACCTATGTGCTCCAAGCTGGCAGGCTAGAATGCTAGTCTCTGTGCTACCACAGCTCCCTGTGGTCTGGTGCTAGCCCCATAATTCTATAAAGGAATTTCACTGCGTCGGACCTGAAAACTCAACTCAGTTTTTTTTCTTTAAAATCTTACCTATATGAAATATTTCCACAGTTAAATATGCCAACAACAAGTACATTAACCCTTTCAGGCCTGGAACCCTAAAAATGAAAAATAGGTCATGGGCTCATTGGACTTTTTTCAAAGTCCTCCAGTGAAGCACATATAATGGCACCAATGCTTAAGTTATTGTTTTAAATTTTTTGATTAACTGTAAAAACAATTAAAACAGTCATACAGAGTGGCTTATTTGTAATATCTATTTCACGTATAAATTGATCTTTCCAAAGTAATTTCTGAGGTCTTTTGGTAATAAAATATTTAAAACTTGTGGGAAGGTGGGTAGATATTACAAACCCTGGCCTAATCCAAACTGGTCCATCTGTGATGTGCTTGTAATATGGTTACATCCTAATATGTCTCTTTGTAAATGGGAAACTTTAGTTAAGTTTTGCGTACTTGAGTGGTTTGAGTTGGGACAAGGAAAGCTTATAATAATAGCTACTTCAGTTGAGCTGATTGCAAGAAATGCTAACTTTTAGCACAAAATGTGACTAGAAAGCTTTCCCTCCGTTGAGCTTACTAGTCACATTCTGCGTTATATGTAGCATTTCTTTATAATACAGGGCCCATCAAGACAGTACCTGAGTACGACAGTTAAGGGACAAATGGGAATCTTTTTCGTAGTATGGAGATACATGGTCTGTGTGACGTTTTCAGTGAACAGCTGCTCTGCTGGAGAGACTAAGCCATATTTGATATCAGGTAACTGCAGTTTTAACATTATAGCAAACAGGTCAACCCATAGTTGCTCCGTTTCTGTGCCAACGAAATCACACAGAAAGTCTTTCACTGTCCCTTGTGGAAACATATGCACAGATGCAGTCTCAGCAAACCCAAATGCCTACACATGCACAGCCATCAGTAGTACCAATGCAAACAGTCCAACACAAGAAATGCAATTCATCATCGATGCAGGCAGCAGTTATAAAATATCAGTAGTTCCATATGTAAATAATCGCATATGGCACCACCATCTCCATGGCAATAGATCACTCGCCATTTTCGAAATCTACAGTTCACAACAAAAGTCATGTCAGACAGTCTAAAATGCATTCCAAAGAAATCCACAGCTCACAGTATCAGGCAGATGAAATATATCCATTTAGTCTGCAAAATGCAATGGCAAACTATTTTCGGAAGCAAAAACTTGTCACGATTACAAACAGTAAACTCTGCTTATTCTCCATACTGATCGGAAGTCAAACTATATATTTTTTTTTAAATGCAATGAATTTGATTGTATCTCTTTGATATACCTTTTTTTTAATATAAACATATAAAAATTATTAACCTCAAGCAAATGTCCAAATATGAAATTAGCAGGTCTTTGAGGAAACTTCCTGTACAGAGCTCTTCTTCTGCTGAAAGACTTGAATGATTCAAACAACTTCACCAGCAGCACAGTCACCATGGCCAGAATTACTGCACCAGCAACATAACTGGTATATGTAACCATCTTGATTGTTTCCTATCTGTAATAAAATACATGCAAATTTAAAGAAACTACTAGCTGTACCCGGCCACACGTTGCTGTGGCCCAGTCTGGCTAACTGAAAAAGAAAGAAAATAGAAAGCATGTTTAATATGGTTAATTTCACAGTCATTGTCTGCAAAGATAGTCTGGTAAGACTCTAGAACATGCAACATATAATTGTTTCCTTATATTAGTACACTGCCAAATACTGCATTTATTATACCACTTTTGCAGTGTAGGCAGAGGGATCTTTAAGCCTGAGGATTTATGGCCACACAGAATGCAATGTTGTGTCAAATTTTGACAGCAGTCGGTGAAGAACTTTAAGAGATTAGCTACCACTAATTGAGGAACATTTACATTTTTATTTATAAACATTAGCATTCACTACTTTAAATATCTGGAAGTATACTCTCGGAGGATGGGAGAATAGAACAGAAAATAGAAACAGAGACAAATCAAGCCAGTGCGTTTACATATCAACTGACACCATTATTAGGACATACAAACTTAAATATGAGCGCCAAGAACAGAATATAAACAGCATATTCATACCAACACTGTGCTACCAGTGCCAGTCTTGGGCATTACCAAAATCTAACCTATGTAATATTATACACCTGTGAAATAAGATGCATGAGAAAAGCCACCAACTTACCCATCTGAGACAAAGTTTGAAATGATATTATCAGACAGGCTGTAGGAACAATACCATGCAGCAAATTCACTGAGAAACCGAAAATCAAATAGTTTGATCATCTTGTAAGAATGCAGCCAGAACTACCAATGCAGGTGCTACACATGAAAAGATCTCAAGTGAAATCAAGAGGTCACCCTAGGAGAAAATGGATTGATGACATTAAAGAGCTTCTAAATTGACACAGAAGGATACTAGCCAATGCTGCCCTCCTCAAGCTATGGATCACAAGCTATTCCTCTCCACTTCAATTAATAGCAGAAGTGGAATTTGATGATGATGTTTAGCAGTCACTACAGCCATACAATAGCAGCCTCAGCAAGCTTAAAACAGCATACAACAACCTGTTAGAATTTTTACAATTCAGAAACCAAAACACGCGCGAACGCGCTTGCACGCGCACTCATGCACGCACGCACACACACACAAACTAGTGACCAGACTTTAAAACTACACTCCTGTTGTTCCACCATGGGAAACTGTAAAAAAAGAAAATGACTAAGGTGGTTCTTTGTTTTCCTCAAGATGGACCCATCAATGGCTGCAATATACCAGTTACATGAGTTGAGTTGAGTCAAGAATTGACATCACAGCACTCGGGGCATTCCCATGCCTCATCTTCAGCAGCCAGTGCAGAGTTCCAATACTGATGGTACCGGTCACAATCTGGTTAAATGTCCGTCTTGCCTTTCCCCTAAGTGTAGACATCCAGCCAGACCCTCTGGTTACACCCAGGTGCCTCCTTCTCTCCAGGCCATAATAATCTAGCTTGTTATATATCAAATTACCACTAAACAGGTGCAGAGCTGGCCAGTCTATCTGCCTGCTCATTTCCCAACACACTGGCATAACCTGGAGAAAATATCTGAAGGATGCAAACCACCCGGGACCTCTGAAGTGATGCTTGCCACTCTGCACGGAACATGGTTGTCTCAGCCTTTTCCCCATGCTCTGTGAGTCAGTTACAATCACGACATGTGTTAGCTGCTGATTCTCAAGCCAGCGGAAGACAGCAGTGACTGCCTTGCCTCAATTCTCAAGCTAGATGTCGTGATAACATATGCGAGGCTTTCTTGCACTATGTGACGTCCATTCGCTTTTGCTTCAAATCCCCATGCACTTCATCTGCCCCTCAACACAGAGCCATTTGTTTAGATAATAGCATCGCCTGGGCGGCAATTGTCATATTCTGTATGAATGAATACAGAAGCATGAACTCACAGCCAAAAATAAGCATCGGGACATAATGGGATATCCCCCATCTTGCTTCCCGTTCCAAAGAAATTTTGGGTTATTTTATCTGAAATTTTTTATGCAAAATTAAAACTGTTCATGTTATTCCCCCCCCCCCCCTTTCCCCCCCTTTTATTTCTTCCTTCCTGCCTTCAACTTTTTATCCCCTTTGATTTCAGAGTTTATGTATTTTTAAATCTTCTGATCCCCAAAGGGTGTGTAAAAAAAAAACATTTTTTTTCCCTATTTAAAGGGGTTTACAAAAAAACTAACTAATGCTGTGCTTCGGAAAGAAAAAAAAATTAACCCTAAGGTTGACAGGTTTTCTTAGCATGCTCGATCAAAACTTAAAAAAGGGTCTGGAGGATTGAAAAAGGATTTTATTTCCAAACCAAACTACTATTATAACTAATAAATTTTTTAAAATGTAAAAAAAAAAACAAAAAAAAAAAA